CGTAACCTCAATTGTCAAGTTGTCCTACCATGCAAATGTCGTCGAAGCTTCCCGAGAGTGATTTGCCGCGTTGAATCGGGTGAGAAGATTTCGTCACAACTGGGACACCGACGAGACCGTCAAGGTTCCTGAGTCTTGTGTATACAGCTTCTCAATGAATTTGCCGAACAACGAATGAAGCGTTTCCAACACACTTTGGGTCAGAGCAGACAATTTACTGTCGAAGAAATCCAAGCGTTCAGTCCTTTTGAGTCGAACGATGTTTCGGTCGAGGAACTGAAAGCCTCCGTCAAACTGGAAGGCGAGGACCCACAAGATGTGTTGCAATTCATCAACATTGTCCCCACCGTGGAGCTTCCGGAGGAGCAGACTGCATTGAATCAATCTACGGGTGAAGAAACTACAGCCGACATAAATGTCGAGCCGAAAGTTGGAACCGATGATGCAGACGTTGACATGCCGGACAGCTACACTGGAGGAAATGATGATGTGCCCGGGCAACGTAGCAGGCGTAAATGCCTTGCCAGCGGCGCCCGAGCTAGATCAACAAATGGCAAAGATTGAAGCCGATGTCCTTGAAGTTTTGGCGGATGTGCCAATGGCACCCGAGGCAAGCGATGAACCCGTTGCAGGCACGTTGTCTTCTTCCGCATCAAGGCCCCCTCTGCCACGCTTACGAGGCAAAGGACAGGGGCAGGGTACTCCTGCAACTGCTCCCGTAACGAGGGGCTTCTTGGAGCCTGACGACGATGTCGATCTCGACTTGAAATATTCTGGAAAAGGGAAGGGTGTGCTCGTTCGCGAGGTCAAACCCAACCCTGAGTACAAGAATATGAAAGTTGAAATCGAAGAAGTTCTCAGCAAGTATCCTTACCCGGATCACCTGTTGAAGGCCATCGGCGACGGCGGAATTCAGCCTCTTGAAGAAGAATTGGGCCGAAACGCCCAACAGTATACATTGCATCATATCACCGGCCACCGATACTACTACGAGTATGAGGACAACCATGGCTATCCATGGGAGTGGGGTTGTTCCTGGCCGAAGCACGTACGGCGTGGAATTTCAGGATTGTTGCGTGGGCATGTTCCCGACGTTTCAATTTACGATCCGGCGTGCTATTTACCAGTTTACAAATTATTGCAATTGGCCAAAGCAAAATTTCCAGACTATGCGGATTCAATCAATGTATTTGAACTTATTTCTATGGCCATTTACGACGACAAGGACAGGATTGAGTTTCAATGCGTTTACGATTCTCGTGTGAATGAAGCCCTTGAACTTTGGGCGGCGCCTGTGAAGGTGAGGTATGGTCAAGGCCATACAGATGATGTCCTTGAGACGAGGTCCAACGAAGTTTTGGCCAAGACGATCTACTGTCGTCCCGATCACATGCATCGGTATAACCGTCGTCTTACCGCGCGCGGTAATAGGGACATCCCACCCCGGCTTTATCACCGGACGCATGAAGATGCCGCGCGTGCCATAATTGCAAATGGCCTCCTCCCCGGCGGAGGTGCCGGCGGCCCGAAAAGTAAGGGCAATTCCTTCTTTTCCATACTACCTCTGGGAGACCAGAAGGCGATGTCCGGCGTGCGCGCGAATCGACCCATTGAGCTTTGTTTTTCTACCGCTGAAATCATTGAAGCAGGCGTCGACCTTTTCATGACCAACTCGAATGCAATGATTACAAGTCATCATGTTCCCAACACGTGCATCCTCTTCACCACCCGTGCCCGCGTAAATGCGGAGCCTGAAGTGTTCTACTCAAGGCCACAGGCTATTGACCCGGCGAATATGGACGTTGGAGCACCGCAGGATGACGTTGTTTTGATTCCAGGCAATGTTGAAGAGGCGCAGCAACAACAGGCTACAAGTGAAGCCACGCCTGAGGAGCGAACAGCCGCCAGCAGTGCTGCCAAGAAGGAATCGATGGAGACAAGTCACGATACAGCTGTCCCACAGATCGAGAGTGGATATTTTCTTCGCCTTCGAACCTTCAGCTGCGACAAATGCACCACACTTTCCTTAGCCGGAATGGCATCCTGTCACAGATGTGGAGCAGTCTTCCAAGGCAGCACAACGGACGGTCGTGTTTCGAAGTTTATGAGATTGCAAATGAGGCGTGCGAAGACCGTGCAACAGCAGGGGGGTGTTCCTAACAACATGACGGCCGCAAGCGTGCTTGACAGCGTTGCCGCGCAAGACATGCAACCTGGTCGTCCTCCCGCTCGTGGCAATCCCTCAGTTGACAGTCAGATTATTCTTGCTGCTAGAGGTCGTCTTCGCAGAGCGTTGAAAGAAGGGTATGAGAATGTCTACGATCGATTCAATCGCGACGACGTCTTCGCCGCCTCCTTAACCGGAGAGGGATGCACCGCATTTGATGCGGCGCAGGAAGACTTATATGCGTCACTACAACTACCTGCACCCTCGCGATCCGCAAAGCAGAGATCCAAAGGGAAGTCAGTTGTCAGCGATTTGGATCGTCAAGACAGAGTTGACCTCGCCAAGCTCGCGTACATTCGATGCGGCGTTGACAACCTACATACCTGTTTCAAGCAAGGCCTCGACGAGAACTTTTTGATCAGCTATCGACGTGAATTTTTGTCTCTTCGACAATTCGCTGCCGTAATTGGCAACAGCCGAGACGAGATCAGAATCCAAGGTTTCATCCCGACCGAAGATGTATATGGCGATATTCATTCTATCCGCATTCCTCGTGGAGACACGATGGGCATTTACAAGATTTTGAGCGAATTTGCGGAGGAGAATGAGAGCTTTGCCAATATTCAGTATCAGCGAAATGCCCGACAGTCCGCAAACATGCAGGAGCGCGACCGAGGGCAGTCAATTCGGCAAATGGGATTTATGAATGTTGAACAGCGCATGGCAACGCCACTTCCGAAGTATGCGGGTTGCGGACAGGATATGACGTCCTATGAAATTCATCGGTTGGAGCAGCTTTTGTTGGAATTTGGACAACGCGAGGCACCGTCTCCACAAGTGCCTGTAACAAGGCCACCGTTGACTCGGAAACGCTCGCAATCCTACATCGAAGGCGTTGCCGACGCTGACAAGCGACCAAGATTGCAGTGGAGGAAGAAAGAAGAGCGAGACCAGTCTGGTCGCATTGCTTCATGGATTGATGATCGAACTCCTCCACCAGGCGTGCCTCGTCCACCCGCTCCCATAACAGGGACGCATACATCGTCGGTGTACAGGCCGCCTCATCCTCGTGGTCAAGAAGCAGCGTCACCAACGGAGGACTTCCCTAAACAGAATGTCAGTGCAGATCAGAGCATTGTCGGCAAGGGCAAAGGCCAAGGCAGTTTTTTTATCAAGGGAACGAATGCTCCCGTAAAAGGGACGTTCCGTCGGCCGTGCAATGTCAAGTCCTGAGGACAGCATGCCCAGGCGAAAGACCTGTTCGGTCCACCACTGCACACTCCACCGCCCGTTTCATCGGCAAAACCACAAATTCCAAAGCCACCGAGCATGCCACCACCCTTACCGGTGAAAGCAGCTCCAACACAACCACCTGCAAAACCTTCACCACCGAAGGTTCCACCTCCAAAGGTGCCTCCTCCAAAAGTTCCGCCGCCAGATATTTCCAGCACCACCAGCGGCATACCGGCAAATACTCGGCCACCAGATTTCAATCTCACGCCGAAGCCACCGCCGCTTACAGACCTATACAATCGGTTGCAACCTTCCGTAAAAGGAAAGGGCAAACAGCAGGCGAGCCAACGTGGAGGACCCTATGGTTCACAGCAATGGAATTTACAGAATGTATCGCCACCACCGTTGCCTTCAGGAGTTCCGTCGACAGCGGCATCATCCTCCAATGCTCCCATAACTGGGCAGCCAACAGTGTATGGAACGGATGATCGACCATTAGAGCCCTTTGATTTTCCTGGGGTACAATGGCAGCGCACTGACCCATGGGCTGAAAATTACTGGCCCAATCACATGGAACTTCGACAGTGGATGCAGCAGGGATGGCATGATGAAACGGAGCGTTTTGGATATCGACATTATTGAAAATATGTTGAACTGCTACCATAACTGGTATGACGAACGGCGCATGAGTGTTGAGATAAAGATCACCTTCTGACGCGCTGTGAGATGATGTTTCACTTCATTGTCTCACCGGATATTGCATCCTTAACCGGATTGCCCCAGTCGGAGAGTGAACTTTTAATCAATGCTCTACTTAGAACTGGGTTAAGCATGCTTAATCACATGCCGAGTGAGCCGGAAGGTCGTACATTAGGGTAGCTACGTCCTCTCTGTATAGTGCATGCACGAGCTTGATGAGGGATTTCTAATATGATTCCTTCGTCGCTAGAATTCAGTCCTCCCCGAGATTTTCCCTACGGGTAGCTCCTTGTAAAGGGGGGTGTTGAAATTCACCTCATCCCTATGGACCCCGCAGCGTGTACTCTCAAGGTAGAGCAAAAGGGACGCTTAACGGCTAGTCAGGGTTAGCTAGGGAAGTAGAGCTGATCCTGTAAAATACAGCTTTGCTTAGGCCAGGGCCCCACCGAACGAATTCGTGTATTGGGTACGCTTTGCATGGCTTTGTCTTGTTTGGGACAACGGTGCCGGAGTGGAACAAGTGGGTTGGTCGGTGGCGGAGTGGAACCACATCGTGTGGCCCACACGAATCGTGCAACCACTTGAGAAGGATTCCCACATCCCACCGTGTGCACCGTTGCTTGCAAATATGAATCTCCTCAACTGTAACGTCAACTCAGGATTAGTAAACCTCCCCTAGTCAAGAAGAAAACCCAAACAGGATCGAACATTCATCCAAATTTAATGTATTATTCACTACCTCACTTACTACTACTACTACTACTCCTCCTCCTCCTCCTGCTGCTGCTGCTGCTGTGCTGCTGTCCAACAGTCCAACAGTCCACAATATTCATTGCAAATGTGCCCTCCAATTCTCAAAATGACAGAACCCATGGTCTGGCGGTACTTCTCCCAGTCTCAGGTACGCTTATCGAGCATCTCGGCTGGTGGAGACTTTGCTTTGGTTCACTTTGCTGGAACGTGTGCGTGGAGGGTGGCAGGTGTTGAGTTGTGATGCGGTCGTGGGTCAAAACATCTCAACATCTACTGTGGACCACTGACTGAACGCCCACAAATAATAAACAGAAGTGCTGCTAATGGCTGTGGGGGTTTCGTCTTGACGAGAGAGGAAACTGTATGTTGTCGTGAGCTTCTCCCTTTAGGGGTTTCGGACCTCGGTACTTCAGTACTTCCACCGGCATCGGCACCTGGCACGAGGAACGCCTGCAAACGCAAACGTGTTGGCTCCAGAGCTGGCTCCAAACTCAGGTCGCGGAGGGGATTCCGAACCTGCAGCCCGGACAGGGTGTCGAGTTGCAGTGGAAGATGCAGCAAGGACCCTCGGATGTTCTTCTTACATTTTCTTGCAACATGTTTTGTGTTGAAACTTTTCCGGAGAAAAAGGGGAGTCAAAATCCTGATGAGGAGTCAGGAGTCTGACTTCCTCTGAATGCTTCGTTGGTTCCTTCATGTTCCTTCCGTGCCGAACGGGTCCAAACCCTCCCACCGGTCGCGGAGCGCCATCGAACCAACCACCGGCGCAGGAAGTCCGTTTGGTTGGTGGTTTGGCACCGTCGAGGCCCTTGAGCGCGACGCAGGCGCGGGAGAGCCGAGCCGAGCACCTTGGCGGTTCGTTGTCCCCCTGTTTGGCCAAAAGCTTAGCTGAACTCCTAGTAGCTTCTTGTTCCTAGTAGTACGGCCAAAAACCCCTAGTAGCATCCTTGCTCCTAGTAGCGATGCCAGGAGCCCCTAGTAGCGTCCGCCTGGCTGGCGTGTCAGGTGGCTCCCGGGCACGTGTCACGATGATCTTCGACCACTTCCCGAGCACGTCGCGGTGGCGCCGCCTGCAGATCGTGGTCGGCGACGGCGTGGTGCGCCAGTGCGCCATCGGAGGATGGCACGGGGGCGTGCGCGCGGTGACGGAGGCAGAGAAGCGGGAGTGGGCAGCTTGGTGTCGCAAGGGCGGGAAGTGAGGTTGCTGCAGACCGTTTCGGAGGAGTGTATATATATATATATATATGTACTAACGATCTGATTTGAAGGTCTGGCCTCGGAATGGTCTCTTTCTTATCGGGACTTCAACGCAAAGTCGAGAGAGAGGCGGGGGGAGGTAGAGGTTGGAGAGGCGTTGATGTTTCTTTCACCATCGACCGCCAGCTGCTGAGGCCAAGTTCTTCCCCAAGGAGCCAGTGATTTTCTGATCTCCCCTTAGTTGCATATGACTGGTGCGGTGTTGCGCCACACCCGGAGGTAGCTTAACTCTGGGTGGCGTCTTAGGGAACACCGGCACATTTTTCTGGATGCAGAATGGCCACTCGTGGCCTGGAGAGGTTCTGGGTCGACACACTTGTCGACAGCATGGGGTGTTTTGGCCCAGCCCTCCCGGCAGCATGGCACAATGCTTCTTGCCATGCCTTCTTCTCACCGACTCGGCAGGCCTTTGAACTGCCGCGTCCCGTGTACACAGCACAGGGCGCCAAAAAGCCTTGCTCCGCCAGTGCCGAAGAGAACCGAAACGAGCGTCCGCAACGAGCCGTTGGGCCAGAGAAGATGATTCAGTGGCTGTTGGAGCGGCTCTTTGGTGCAAATCTTTTCCAGAAGAAATCACGTTTGGTGGTTTCACCTGGCTTCCAGAGGCTGTGCCCAGAAAACCGCACAGCCCTGGTTTTTTTCAGGCAAAGCCTGAAAGATGATCAACTCTGAACCCCGCGAAAGCCGAGGGCTTTTGGAAAAATGTTTGCCCATCTTAGATGCTGAATCTCCCAAGTCTTTGGTGCTTTGGCGGTTGAAGGTTCCTTTGTGATACAGAGGGGGGCAGAGAGAGAGAGAGAGAGGAGATAGATGCTGAGATTGTTGCACCTTTTTCCTCCTTTTGGCACCCGAGTCTCGTGGTCAGTTTCGGCCCAATGTGCATATGTCGTGAGCGCGCGGAGCTCTTGAGCACGCGGTGAGTTCGGGTCCGGGAGCCGAAACGATGCCCGGCACGCGTTTGGGAAAGGGCTTTCTTTGAGTCCAGGGCGGGGGGGGGGGGGAATCGGGTAGAACTACCATTTTGGGTGCGGGTGTGACACTGTGACATAAGAAGGGCTTTTTAAGGAAGTCCTGTGCTCTTCCAGGCTCCGGTTGTCACCGGCCGCGCACTGCCCCACCCCGGCCTGGTCACCCAGGTGTGGCAACGACCTGACGGAACCATGCCGGGCAGCCCAAGCAGAAGCTCGCAGGGTTTCGGTACGCCGTGGGGGTCGCAACAGACCATGCTCAGCAGGAACCTCTACTGAGTAAGTACCGAGTACTGCTGAGTCTGTTGGCCAGAAAATACATGCAAACAGAACTGGTTCGGTCGTTTCATCAGCAACGAATTCCTGGTCGTTGTTGATGGCAAACACTGTAGATTCCATGCGATCAGCGCTCTTGGCGCGCCCTGTCGAAGCACTTTTTAAAGAAGCATGACGAAAGGTCTTGAAAGAAGCCAACAACATAGGAGGGACACCCAACCACTGCAGACAAGACAGGTTCAATGCATCATGGCAGTTGACAGTTGCGCTCCCCGCTTCAATTGCATCTAGTCCAGCAATGACGTTTTGAATCAGAGTTGGTGCAGGCTTTCTTTGCAGCTTTTCAATCGCGAGGACGGGGTTCTTCATCCGTCCAAGTTGTCTGAGGCCCAAGAATTTGGGCTACTCCAAGCTTTCGCCTGGCGGGCTGCCTCCGATTGTAAGGCTTGGGTTAAAAAGGGCTTGGCTTTCCCTACCTGGGAGTCTCATGCACCCCTTTTGAGCTGATTCTTTCTCTGTGGCACTAAGCGACCAAGTCCTCCAACATCATCAAAAAAGTCGAAACCAATTGGATCCATTTTCAACCTGATTATTTTGGGCCTCCAGTCGACTACGTTACATTATTACCCTTTTTGTTTGGGTCATTTTTGTGAGCATGTAGATGTCGAACATCCGTGGGTCCAAGACAGCAACTCCATGGTTGATCCCAAGCAGACGTGCTCCGTCAATCGGCACGGCACCGGTCGCTCCATGCCGCCGAGAGTGCTGAAGCTGGCTCCTCGGTCGGTTCCGCCGAGGTGGTTTGGTTCACTAAGGGCTTTTCATGACCGATTCTGAGGTAGCAGATCCACAGGTTTCAAAACCAGGTAGGTGAAATGCCTGCGAATGCCTGCATATGTCCCATGGTCACCCGAAACAGAAGGATAGGAAAGGTCACTCGCGTACTGCAGACCGACGTGGCAGGCCCGGTCTTAAGCAGTTCGGCCAGTTCAGTGAATTGAAAGATGTGCATTCCCAGGCCGCCTGACAACCTGTCCGTGCTTCAGACTTCAGCCGTGCAGCTTCAAGGAGGTTTTGGCCACGCCACAGCCAACCCGAAGGGCAAGTAGCAAGCAGTTACCTTCCAATCATTCCAATCCATGTCTGGCTGGATTCCGGTGCTCCTCCACTGGCGGGCGGGCGCGCTTCTTTTTTCCCACAGCTTGGCGTAGCTAGTGGACTGAGGCTGGGCCAGATGCCCAAGACGAGGGCCGGACAATGGAATGTGGGTCGGGGCGCTTGGCTGCCGAGGCATGAGGAAAACAGATGAAAACAGCATACACAAATATGTTAATTATTAAATACACATACACACAACACACACACATATACTATATATATATAATATATGTATACATGTAGGCATATATCGTTTCATGGAGGCATCGTTTTTTCTGTATGTTCCAGGAATCTGCAGATACACCGTACTTTTGGTGAAAATCTGAGCGCTCCACGGTCCAGGACTGTCTCACGGTCCATCGCATGCGCACCCCACGGGTCCCATTGCGCCAGTCGCAAGAGGCCATGTGTCTGAGGCCATGATGCCTTCTCCTCCGCCTCGGTTTGGCTGGAGAACGTGGCCCGCCAGGGGAAGCGTCCGGGCGCCCCAGAGTCGCCCAGCAGGTCGACACGAAAATGGAAAGGATACCAAACTGCAGATTGAGAGGGATTGTGCATTTGATCCGGAAGATGGGTGAGTCAGACAGCCGGAATTGTTGGACTCATTTGACACGTGCCTCACTCGATTTGGGTTCGTGTAGGGTGATCCCCCATGTCCAGACAGCCACCCGGTCCGCCCGGTCCGACCGTCGTCCGACCGAAACGCGGTCGTTCGAACGGACGAGCCGTCGCCAGGTGTGGGGGACCGCCAGACCGCCGAGCCTGTGGTCTACAAGGGTGATATGCTGGGGGTGCCCAGGAGGGTGAGTTGTGACACGTGGTGCTCCACCGCGAAAGGTTTCGAACTGGGGGAGGCATGGAAAACCCGAGCTGGCCCGAACTGGTCCCCCTTCCACTCGTAGTCCCTACTGTCCCATATGCATGAAGTCCATTTCCAAGCAATGCTTGGATGCTTGGATCAGCTCAGGACACTGAAGGAGTTTAAGAAGATGAAGGAGCCAGTGAGGCCGGCGCATCCTTCCAGATGGTTGGCCCTTTTGCGTCCAAGTATCTCAGTACGACAAGTCGGCTGTATTTGTAGATGGTTGGGGTTGGCAAGCAAGTCTCTCGTGACCGGTAAGTACCCACCGCAACTGCGTCATGGTGGCGGCGGCGGCGGTGGAGGTGTCTGAACGGAAGTAGCAGTCCCGAGGTACGACATTGCTTTAATACTAGTCACTATCCAGCGGTCGGTGTGACCAACCTAGCAGGCGCCTCATCGCCAATGCCGGCGCCTTGCCGGCGCGGAAGTTGGTGAAGGTCCAGGATGACCAGGCAGGAGACGAGTGAGTGAATGAGCCTGGGGTGGTCCGATCCATGATGTGTATAAGTTGGGTCCGCCCTATTATATACTCGTAACAGTCAGTAAACAATTATATATCTTTATTTTTGAGCAAGGCCTTTTTTAAGTCAGACCCACGGTGCTACACGCATGCCTTTCTCAGCGTTGTATTCCATGGCCTATGTTTTATGTTATATTGTATGTGCCTGTCCAGGGAGGGTGAAGCTTCTGAGATTCCCACTCATGACAGCAGGCGCTCTTCGAACCTCTCAGCAAGGACTGCCGATCGATGATAGCACCGCTGATGCTGTCGGATGGTTTGTGGTCGACCGGCCGGGGTGACTGTCAGGAGGAGCGGGACATGAAGGTCATCCTTCAGATGATCAGTGAGAAAGCAGCGCAGAGGCGGAGAGTGAGTGATGTCGTTTGGGGAGGAGGTTGGAGCCAAGAGCGAGGCCGACGGAATTTTCCAACCCAAGTTGCTGGTTGAACCTGGTTGGGTCACCAAGCCTCTGGTGTAAGAATCTTTTTCTGGTGGTCACATCAAGAAGAGTGCAGACATTCAGGCTTATGTCAGAACCGAACCAATCAGGCGAACATGTCATACGCCACATGGAGACGCCCGGTCGAGACTGGGGTGTTTTGCTGAGACAAGGCAACCATGTAAGCCATAGGCAGATAGGCAAAAGTTTGACAAATAGACTGGATAGACGCAAAACAAACAACATAGATAGACAAATAAACATAAATCAACAATAGACTAGATAAACACTGAGAAGGAAAGAGCTAGATCAGGGCTCTTCATTTGGACATCTCCCATGCCGGTTCTCTATGGCGCGGTGTCCGGTTCTCTATGGCCCAAAGATGCAGAGGCTTGGGGCTGGAATCAGTGCAATTGGGATCAAGCTGAGGTCGTGCGGCTGGTTCACCTGGGAGTTGAGAGCTACTTGTTGCCCATCTCCTGGCCCCTCGCTCCACGCCCCGAAGAGAAGGACCGGCCGAGCCGCCACCGCCGGCCGGGCCACGGGCCACACACCCGGCGCGAGCGCCGGCGTGGAGACGGCTGCTACCGGGATCCGGTGGAGTCGCTGCGGCAGCGGGTGGAGATGTTGCTGCGACAGGAGGTGGAGCCTGTGTTGGCCTTGGACTTTGGGAGGTTAGGCTTGGAGCGATCCGTCGAGGAGGAGGTGAAAGATCTGGTGCAGCTCTTCCCACAGGCGCTTCGGTGGGAAAATGAACTTGCGTTGAAGGAACATGTCCAAAAAAAGTGGGTCAGGTATTCCGTGGCAACCGTAGTGAGTGAGCATGCATTCTTTAAATCAGTGAATTGAGCACCGCAATCAGCCTTGAAGCTCTCTGACAGGTGCGTCGCTGGGTCACGCTGTTAGAGCCCTGGAGGGTGCTGCAAGAAGGGTCACACGTGAGACGCCGCTGGACGGATTCCGCGAACGCATCGGGGCGATTTCAACGAGCGCTGCAGGGACACCGGGCGGTTCAAGAGACTTGGCTCGGCTCTTTGGAACTTTTTCATGTGCTGCGCTCATCATGGGCAGATGACTTTAGATGGGAGGGGGAGGGCCTTTTCTTTTTGGATCCCAAGAGCCATCTCCACTTCCGTGTGATGTGTTGGTCAAAGGTGTGTTTCACGGACATCAGACCTCGTGCCTGTCAGCAGATCGTTCACGGACCTCGTCCAGTGTCAGGAGATCTTCCAGAAGTCGGATGCTGAGGCTGATGGGGCTCGCTGCTTGGGCCTCTTGCTTTCCCTTGACTGGCTGGAGCCCGGTGGATCTGGAGCAGAGAGCCATCCACAAAGACGAGCACAGCTTGAGCACGCGTCCCAGGAGATCATGAGGCGGCAAGTGGCTTTGGTGTTGGAGGCCTTGGGCGGAGACCGGACCACTCTGGGTGAGAGCATGGTCATGCTGCTCCCTCGGCATGCTGGACGGGTCCATTGGACCGACGGTGTGGAGATCGTCTACACCGATCTGAGCTTCACCGCGCACGTGCACCTCGCCGCTTGGTTCCGCGCAGAGTGCGGAGCCGGAGAAGTACATTTGATCGCTGATAATATGCAGGCCTCTCAGGTTCGGAAGGGGATACGGCACAGTCAGAAGGCCATTGATCATCCATTTTCGGGCTTTTGGGTGCACGAGAAGGATGCAGTAAGGTGGGGAGGCTCTGACAGTTTCGCAACTTGGGAGCATGGAGTCGCAGATGATCTGCAAACACAGATGAACAAGCTGAAGAGCTGTGACGTCTTTTCTTTTCTGGTGGCTCTTAGCTCCTTGGACTGCCTTCCTGCTGCCCTGCCGGCCCTGCACCATGCGCGTGATGCCTCGCCCGGCCCGATGCCGCCGGACACCGCCGGGCACAGCGTGCGTCCCGACGGCCGCCAGGCGCGGTGGGACCGGACGCTCACAGCCGCGGTGAACCGGCGGCGCGCCCGGGGCGCGCGCACGGGCGAAGGCAGCGTGGAGGTGTTGAGTGTGTGTGATGTGGTGGCCCAGGTGTTGCTGTCCTGGCGGCGACACTTGCGTGACCAGAGAAGTTGGCACCTTCCAACGATCCACGCGTGTTTGGAAGCTGTGCTGATTTTACGGCAGAAGGAGTCCACGCCCGACCATGCGTGGTGTGAGAAGGCCTGCCGGGCCGTACAAAGCTCCAAGGAGAACTTGTGCGAGAGCCTCCCTCCCCTCCTGGCGATCAAGACGGAGAAAGGAGGTGCTGGAGATGTAGACCGCGAGGTGCAGACCGCGGCACTGGCCGCCCTATGCATCGTTGTCAGGCAAGCTGCCAGATGGCCCGCCGAAAAGGGACTGCAGATCGACATGACTTGAATCACACCTCTGGTGATGGAAATGGCTCACTGAGTAAGACTCCAATTCTAGTAACACCTCATGAGCTTCACGCTCCCCCACAGTATATACATCCTGAGATGCCACAGTGTCTCCAGTGGCTTTCCACACAAATTCTACTGTACTTCTTCCTCAGTCTTCACTTTTTCGGAGTTACGCAAGCGACCGGTTCAAATGGCTCACAAGGGTCTCACGAGGGTCTCACGAGGATCTCTAAGATTAGACCGATGGAGACCTCTGCAGCGGTCTTCTGTAGCCCCAAGTATTCTGGCAGGATTGTGTCAATCAGCGTGATTCGATATGATCAGTCATTCTCGTTATAATATAGCGATTTCCTTCCATTCAGTGCGTGCTTCAACGTCACGTTCTTTCAACTTTCAACGTCACGTTTTGCTGTGGGGAGTTCAGCTGACAAAGCTGTGAAGTCGTGCTCTGTCCTGCCAGGTTTGGCTCCATCCGAGACGCCCTGCGGCACCTGGACGCCGATTGCGATGGCAGCGTGGACCGGGGTGAGGCGGGTGGCAGGTGGAAGTTGGGAGGTCGATCAGGTGCATCGACTGATGGGGATGGGAAGCTCAATTAGGCAGAAGCGGTCAATTGCCTGCGGCGGGAACGATTTTTTTCCAATTGTTTTCTTGCGTTTTCTAGCGGGACAACGAAGAGGATGGCTGGCTGGCGCAGGGGTGGCTGACTATTCTCACCATTGACACTTTCGTTATTTTATTTGGCCCACTTCAGCCGTTCATCCGTCAAATCAGCTTGGTCACGTGACTGGACCTGGCCGCCGTGGGAAGGCCATGGCGTGAGGACTGGGCGTTTTTCGCATCACGCGGCGACCTGAAAACTCGGCGATTCCCCTCGTTCTGTTGATTGTTGGGCTGATGCAGCAGAAAAGGACCTTTTGTCAGATGTTATTTCCGACATGAGTTTCTCTCAAGGTGGAGCACCTGGTCGGTGGATCTTCCCACCTGGCACCCAGAACATTCATTCCCCAAAACCTCAAGGGACCTGGAGAAGCGGTCGAGATGAGATGAGCCTACAGTATGCAAGCTGCGTTTGGTCCGCTGGTGGGTTGAAGGACAGGTGGCAGCATGGGTGCTCTTGGAAGACAAGCGGGAGGCCACTGCTTTGCGTTTTGCATATCGTCTAATTCTTGTGTTCGTTTGCTCGCGGCAGCATCTGCTTGTGCAAAAAGACATCTTCTGGACAATTGATGCTTTCTCCCAGCACTGTTTGGTCTTTGAACAGTTTCTCGCCAGTTTGCCACCGCTCAGACTCCTTTGCTTTGATGCATTGGGCCGCCACCAGGTTCATGACCACACGAGCTGCTGCTCGACATGCCGTCCGGTCTCAGTACTTCTTTGTGGCCAACGATGAGGAGGCTTTCTCGGCCCCTTGGAATGTGAAAAGATCTATATATAGTGATCCCCGATCCCCAAATAGATAGAACCGGTTTACAATACATTTTTAGTTGGGAGTTGGGATTTGCCTTTCTATCTATTTGGCTGTATTATATGCTGTAAATGGGTTATCTTGTTCATGTATATATATATAGATTATATAGATGGTCCAGTCTTGGTATTCTTCCCGACCAAATGGAGTTGTTGCTGAGATGCCCATGTCCATCATGTGCGTGTGTGCTCGTTACAGGGTACCATAATACATCCTTGTCGCATGATTCTGGACACAATCTGAAGTGCTTTGGTCCGGTGTAGAACATGGTAGGTAGAACATCATTATCATCATTTGAGGACTTTATGGATATCATGATATCATGTTGAGTTCCTGTAAAGAGAAGTCAGCAAAGGTAACGACTTGGAGCATGGACCCACTAGACATCATAGGCGCGAAGTTTCCTGAGGCAACGGCTTCTGACACTGGCACTTGGGGATCCGATGGCAGTCAAACCACTTGCTAGATTGTTTTTGGATCGGATCGGCATCATCCAAACCGACTACTGTTGCAATCATAGAAACATCACGGTCGTTGGTTGCGCAACAAGTCGACCTGCACTACACACAGTGACCCGTCGATGGATGGATCCTCCCCCGGTGATGCGTCACTGGTACCGCGGCACCGAGGTCTTCGGCCGCCAAGAGGTGCAGGACATCAATCCCATCCGCCAGGCGTGGACGAAACGGCCGGTCGTTCGGTGTTTCAGATGCAAGGACGCTACTAGTAATAGCTCCTGGCCTTAATACTAGGAGCAAGAAGCTCCTAGGAGCAAAGGGCATCGCTACTAGGAGCAAAGACACTACTAGAAGCTAAATCTTTTTTGCCTCTGTAGCCTTCTGGAGGTGCACAGCTTTCTATTGGGATTACGTGGGCGATCATGCGCTTCTTTGCACTGTTTCCCCGCATCATTCCACATCCAGAGTAGAGCTATTCCGGCATGTTGTCACATCCAGGTCACTGATGTGGGTTATTTGATCCTGTTCTTGGCCGTGGCTCTTGGGATGTTCTGGTTGGATTCCTGTGCGCACTCTTTGGGGAATGTTTTGCGCCTGTCAGAGCCCATTGACTACAAAGGAAATCTCTGTGGCTATGATGAAGAGGCCACAGTGAAAACGAAGAAACGCTGTGTTCGTCGGCTTCATGGATTGGTTTGATATTATCGTATGAGTTGAAAAAAGGCCAGCGACATGGTCCAGGTTCTTCCCCCGGCGCTGCTCCCTCGCTTCCCCGCAGGTGAAGGGCAAGCCCTTGGGCTACCACCCCAATCCGTTCAACGACATGGTAATTTGTGTGTCCTCGTGTCCAGAGACGGCCACCGATGGCAGCTTCACCATGCCCGACGGCCCCATGGGCAAGGACTTCACGCGCCCAGCCTACCCATCGGCGAACATCTATGGGCAGCTTTGTTTGCCACTGGATCTCTCGTTGGCTCGGCTGATGATCTCGGTCAAGAGCGTGCAGACGGACACCGGTCCGCAGGTCTAGAGGTGATGCCGTGATTCCTGGGGTCCGACTGTGGGCCTTGTTGAAACGACTGTGGGTGCCTTGAATGGCCGCCATGAATCATCATGAATCATGAATCACCATCCCTGGCTATTTTTTTCGGAGAAATCCATTTCTCGGTTGGAATGAATCGGTAGGAGCCCATTGCCCATTGCGCCGTTTATTTGCAGTAGTTTGAACAAAACAGGGGGCCCTAACTATTGTTCTCCATTTGTCGTCGAAGACTGAGGAGCTCTACAAAGGCTTAGGGGTGATTTTCACCTCTGATGGCATCCTGGTGGTGCTGATCGTTCCCTTTGTGACCTCTGCGATCTACGTGGTCGCTTTATTCTACATCCCCACGGCGGCCACTGCGTTGGCCTTGTGCATCACGGGTGTGACCCTAGCCTTGCTTGGGGTTCTGATGGACCTGGACATTAATGTGATGATGGACATCCCCCTCTTCAAGGAGACCCATCCTCTCATGCCTCGATGGCTTGGCGCAGTCTTTCTTGTCTTTCTGTTTCTAGGGAGAGTCCTTACGCAAGGATCATTGCATGATGGGATAGCTGATGCAACTGACTATTCGTTCAACTGCCTATGACTTCTCTTGGACTACAAAAGCCGTGGCGCATCAAATGCCATGCTAGATTCCTAAATACTTCATAGACCCCTCCCCACTCCCCCACAGGCTTTTTCATTCAACCCTCTGAGGTTGATGGCCCATCCCTATTTCCGCTCCGGCTTCTACCTCGGAAGCCTGGTCTTCTTCTTGGCCCTTGCCAGCTCCATGTCGGACCTGACCCGCGCGCACGCGGTGTTCCGGGAGTGCGTGGCGGCGATCGGGGACCCCAATGTGCTGGTGACCATCTTCACCAGCATGGTCCTCTCGGTGATCCGGATCAGCTTCATCCTGCATGTTTGCAGGTGCCAAGAACCGGGTGGTGTGGAAGGGGACGGGTTTGTGGGGGGACGGGGGGAAGAACGTGAGGGACACTATACCAAAGCTGGGCGACCTGAAGTAGACTGCACCACGCAGTGAATCAGATCCCTATACGAACCGCGTGAGGAAAAAAAAGACAAACCATCCGCTTTCCCTCATTTTCCGCGGCTCTCTTTGGTTCAGTTCATGCTCAGGAGCCTCGCGCTGCTGATGAGCATCGTGACTCCGGTGGAGGTGGAATTGCAGCTCTTTGGGGAGATTCATTGGGTGCCCCGCACTGCGTGGTCGCCGTTCTTCCTCAGGGGTGCCTTTCCAGCGCAGAAACAAGCACGGGGGAGCGATGAGAGTAGCCTGCGCCGGCGTTTTGGGCTGGTTGGAGGGAGACGTGATTTAGATGTGCTGAGATTATTGCCGATGTGCTGTACAATGCTGTACATTGGTGACTGCTGGTCACTGCTAGTACGATGATTTGCCTTGCAGTTGGTGATTGACAAAGCCCACAAGTGGATCGTTCGACTTGGTCAGAGTGGCCGGGAGAATTCTTCAAACCTTGGGTGACCAGGATCGCCAGGATCCAACCACTCAAAAGTCACTCAGATCCCTGTTCCGATGATCTTTCTAACGTAGCTCAAACGGCATTCACACAAAGCGTCATGGTTGTGCAAGAAGAGTTCGTGACAATGACAATCAATTTGTCGTAAATGTCCAGTCTCCATCAAATGCACCCAGGATGGACAAGATTCTGCAGAATACTCCCAGAATGGGCAGGGAGTTGAACAGATTCTGCAAGTAGTGTAAGCTTCAGTTGGTGTTTGGTTCGACTTGCAAGCTCACATGACTAGATGACTTCCGTGATCCGATCGGCCTTACATGACTACTTGGTTGCAGTGTCAAGTTGTGACTTTGCTGTTGCAGAAGCCGGTGACTCACCTTGAGTGGCAGTCATATGGATACAAAGCCAAGGACACGCGGCCAAGCGCATGTCAAATGATGCAATGGATGATACGTTCTCGATATATTTGTCTCTTCTTGGTGTGAACTCCCTGGGTCGAAAAATACAGATATCTTCTCCAGCGAGTCATCGAACGATTTCAGCTCCTTT